ATAGGACTGCCTTTAGACCAGCTATGATGTATGGTACTGAATGTAGGGCAGTAAAAAAGGGGATGAACAGAAATTACATGTTTCTGAAAAACCATAATCTCATACAAAAAGCGGAGAGGTACTTAGTCCCTGGAAGAGAACAGAAAAGTTTAGAGGAAAATATTTGGAGAAGCCGATTCCACATAGAGAAAGCTAATGAGAATAATAATGGTAATGAATGTTCTAGAAATAAAAATAATAAGAGGAACCTCTATCTTAATAATCTTAATAAAAGAATCTTAATAAAAAATTAAAACAATATCTATATATCTAATAAAAAAAGCATCACTAGCATATCAAAATTAAATAAACACAATGTCTGAATTTAATTTTACCTACATAATGTCAAAAGAAAAATAAAGTTAATTTCTAATAAAACTGTACTAGTCAGCTTAATCCTAAAATGTGAATATCATCCGCTTTGTACAAATACCACAATATATTGCTAATAAATTGTTTAGCGATATACTGTGCCACAATACCTCAATTTTATTGTCATTTTAATAAACATGAAACCCGCCAATTTTTAAATTGGGTCCCACCCACCAACCAATCACGCGAAAGTTAGGGAGCGCATTATAATGTAGTCTTTAAATTCAGCCAGATGCCTTCAAAATAACATTAACAGGTACCGTTCATACCGCTAACAGGTACCCTTGCGACAAGCAATCGATTGCAAAAGGCGACAGGGGTGTCGTCAGATCATTTAGGTTTTAACAAGGGGTGAGAAATCCGTTGGCGTTATTTGACACAAACGTCAAAGCTACTATGTCAGCTTAACATAGTAGCTACCATCGAGTTAGAATCTATGGAGAGGGCATCACGTGACTAAAACGACCACACTTCGGCCATATTGTTATGATCGTGTATGATTGCTTACGTTTGTTGTTTTTCGAATATTTTTGGTTTTATAATAGCTTTATAGAAACAGTAATATTATATTGTGATATGAATAGCACAGAATATAAAGATACTAATAAACAATTTGTAAGCCTTTTATAATATTTTGAGTTCAATAATCATATTTTTTATTTAAAATATTATTGTATTTTTAGGTTTCCAAAATATCCTGAAAGACGATACATATGGATCAAATTTGTTAACAGAGGAATATGGAAACCAAATAAATATATTGTTTTATGTTCAATTTTTTTTTAATAATAACTTTTCTAACTTTGGTATTTGAACTAAATTTTTAAGTGTCAGTTAATTTGTTTTTTTTTTTTGTAATTATTAAATCTGAATAAATTTGTATAGTAGTTCTAATATTATTGAGTCTGGTTGTGATCCCACCGCCATATTGGTATGATCGTTAGCCACACCTACTGACGCCGTTTTTAATATACACTTTAATATGGTCCTAGCTTCTCTATAGATTCTAACTCGATGGTAGCTACCAATAATCAATAGTCCCAGGTCACGTGTTCTGAACTCGATACTTAATATCTTTACGGTTTTACTTGATTTTTCCAAAAGTACTAAAAAAAAATATAATGTATGTTGTATTTTTAAAAAGGTTAATCGGCCTTTAAAATAAAGTATCACGCAACCTCTCTTTCCATTAAAGATTTTGTGTCCTCACTCGCTAGAGGGTTGATGAAATTTAGTTGAAAACTAACTGGTATACAAAATGATTTTTTATGGAGATCAAGTTATAGAGCGTGGTACCTTTTCAAATTAACACCGTATGTACAACGATAATTAAGGCAGGGTAGAACTATAGCATTTTATTACCCTGGCATTAATCATGTCTTAAAATAATAACAAGCAACAATCATGGTTCTCGAAAACCAAAATTCGGCAAAAGTCGTGAGAATAAAGACAATGAGGATTTATAGTTTAAAAATCCGCGAGCTCTATGCCTATTAAACATACACAAATTCTTTAACATTGTAACACAAACTGTAAAAAGCATCTACGAACCCAAAAATTTAAGAAATATTCAACAAGAAATATGCAGATTAAAGTATTATATGTATAATCCTCAAAATATGTAATATTAATCGAAAAGCCTTCGGTCATTCTGTGTTCAAACTTCGACTTCGGGCGATACCAACATTATATCCACCCACGCTTAATGATATACTATTAGCTGTCTTGTATATTAAAGTGCTTGTTTACTTTTGAAAAACGTTATCATAATGCAGGGCTCTATTGACAGCTGGCGAAAAGCTATATTTATGCTATTATTTGACTGCATATTTTCATTAAATTTTTTTACCATTAGTATGTTTGAGGTCTAAGTAGTACGATATATTTTAAAACTAATAATAATAATAACGTTTATTTCCATGAAATATACAATTAATAATATTACAATAAAATAATTAAATGACAATAAAATTTTAAAAAATATTACTTTTAATTTGTAGTTCTGTAATTGGTTCAAGGTAAATAAACAGTAGTGCCCATTAAAACAATTAAGTTGAGCATGGGCCATTTTTTAAATTGCTTATTTATATTGATCCTACAGCAAGGCGAGTTTTACTACTTTATTAGTTATAATTATTACCTATATTAAGATAAAACAAAAAAAATAACAATAAAATTTGTATTAATTAATTAACAAGAGAGAGACAATTCATGCATACAATCAACCAAGATAATAGCATATATAAATTTTTAAGATTTCGTAATCTATTCTTGATTTGACTATAGTTATAACCTAAATGGTCTCAAAAAGGTGGCTGAACAGTTGTCTATGATTTTGTTTCAAATACCTAGTAAACAATGTCTTAATCATTTTTTGCGAGTTTATAGTGATTAGGTATGTTTTGTAAATTTCAGGGAGCAAATTGTAGATTCTTCCTTGTAAATACTCAAAATTTCGTTTACCAACTGTTTTCTTTGCAATATTTAATTTGACAAAAGACTGTGCTCTTTTTTTGACAAATTTGACAAAAGACTGTTTATTTTTGTATAAATTGGTGATTATTTTAAGAATATATAACTGTCTTGTATCAAACATTTGAGTTTCGGTATAAAGATTATTAGTAGGGTATCTCGAAGGTCTATTGTAAATAACACGACAAAACGATTTGAACACCAAGGTATTTTGTGTTACTCACTGCATTAATACTCAGATTTTTTATTTTTATAAATTTGTAATCTGGTAGACCTCTCTTATAGCTTGTAAATGGAACATAAACTGTCTTATCCATATTTACTGTAAGAAGTTTGTGGTTAAATATATCAATAATTCTTCCTAAGCCATGTTCCATTTTTCGCTTTAGTTCCATCCACGTGTCTGCAGCGTACAAAATTGCTGTATCATCTGCAAAACTTAATATCTCACCTTCAGTCCGGTAAGTAAGAATATTGTTCATGTACAGTATAAATAATATGGGTCCTAGTACAGTCCCTTGTGGTATACCAAAATTTATGCTTTTGGCACTACTCAATTTCCCTTCTAGTCGCACTCTTTGATATCGATTTTTTAAGTAGCTTTCCATTAAGTTAAATGTGTTTCCTCTAATACCAATGTCTGCTTAAGTATCTAATAGTTGTAAGTGACTAACCGTATCGAACGCCTTTGCCAGGTCTAGGAATACACAAGCTGTTGGTGTACTGCTGTCAACTAGGTTGTAAATTTTGTTAGATAGGTACGATATTGCATTTTCCGCGGATACTCCCTCCCTAAAACCATATTGTTTGTTTGAAATTAACTTATATTTTTCTAAGTATAATACTAGTTGATATTTTATAGCCTTTTCCAATATCTTGCAAAGTGAAGTGATTAGTGAGATTGGTCTGTAATTATTTGTTAATTTTGGATCGCCTTTCTCATGAATGGGAATCACCACTGTTTGCTTAAGTTGTTCGGGCCATTTGCCGATAGAAAATACATTATTTAATAAATAAGTAATGGGACTAGTTAGTATTGGCGATAGTTCTTTAAGTACTTCAGATTTAATACCATCTATTCCTGGAGCTTTGTTCGATTTTAATGAGGCTATAATCTGAACAACGTCATTTTCATCCACAGGTAATAAGAAGAAGGAATTTATTGTAACGTTTCTCTTTGGTGGTCGAGAAGGAGGTTTTATTATCTTCTGAGCATATGTTTCTCCAACTTTTGAAAAATATTTGTTAAATTCCTCGGCGATCTCATTTGTGTCGGTAATACTTTGGTTATTTGCAGTAAGTATTTCTTTGATATTTTAAGTATTATATATAATAAAAAATAGTAATTTGTGATTTAAAATGAGTTTGTTATTTTTACTTTTTTTACAAACCTTTTGCTTGAGATACCGCCTCTTTGTCATATTTGAAAGTACCACACATAGATTATCTTCGTATGTAACATTTTTTTTCTGCGTTAATTTTTAGTCTTCCTTCATTTTCCAATAATTCTATGTTTTACATGTACCAGTTTCAATTAAATTATAATGGACTTTCTAGCATTTATGTGTATGTGTGAAATTATCTAATTATTTCTACCTATTTTTTTTATATAATTGAGGTGTGACTCGATCGTTTCTTGAAAACGTCAGTTGATGACACTAGACGACATCAAGTATCAATAAAACTGACGCCACGACCATAAATAGCATCGGTTCAAACGGTAATTGAAATGATAATCAGTAGTTATTTGCACAATTAGACATAAAAATTTAATATTTAGTAGAAATCTAGGGTTTCGTTTGATAAAATATTTAATTATGTCTAATTTTATGAATACTTTCATTAATTTTTGTCACCAGTCTATCAACAATTTTTTTTACGTACTTTTTGGAGGTTCGGTGCAAAAAACAGTTAACTCCAAGACTGTAATTTTTTTGTCGAAGTCTCAAAACAATATTTTGTTATCAGTTCTTTGGTTTTTTCGAATAAAAATTCCAACAAGTAACAATAAAGGAAAGTTTTTATTGATTTTCCACGAATTATAAAAAACATGGAGTTGACTGGTTTTTGCACCGAATCCTTTAATTATTTAATTGTTTTAAAGTAAATCAACTTACCTATATTTACAAGTTTAATTCCATCTTGTTCTATAGCACTCAAAGCACAAGTTACATTTTCCAGGTAATGATGTTGATTAGCCGGCCTCTTGTTCCAGGAAGGTTTCAAAGGCTTCTTTCTGAGAGCTTCCACCAGCAGACATAGTCTGACTCCTGAAAGCAAAGGAACTTTAGTGCCTAGAGTGTAATAATGTTTTACTCAAATATATCCGTAGTAACTATAAAATCGAATAATAAATACAGAGATATCTAAATATAGAAGCAAACAATACGGTAGAATCCCCAGAAGATAACTATATAAACATCAAAAAGAACTATATAAACATCAAAAAGATACTGCGAAATGTAGTGTCCACGGTAGAATCCCCAAAAGAGAACTGTAAGAATATACTGTGAGATATACTTGACCAATAGTCCAAATGAAACACGAGATTCTTTTTCGGAAGATATTATAAACTGGTCGTACTTATTTTACTATATCAGTTAGCTGGTATCTTTCCCAGGAATTAGATAAAATCCTTATTTCACGTAGGGCATAGTATGTTTCCTTAAAGTGAAATCTTTTAACAGCGACCTGATGTCGCTTTAATTTTAATTTTTAATAGGTACATTTAATATATAATCTGAAGGTTATTACATCTTTTTTAAGTGGCTAGTTTCAATTGCTAACTATATTTTTATTGATGATGGTATAAAGTCTAAAGGTTCTGAAATTTTAATCCGTTTGGATAAAAGTTTTTCACTTCACTGCATAAGGTTAGTATGAAAAGAAAACTTTGAGAAATAATGTAGCATGAGGGAAATAAACCCTTAAATTAATTAATAATTTATAACATAGTTTAGAATGCTCTGACTATCAACACTGAGCTTTATGATTTATACTTTAAAAGTACTGCTGAAAACCCTTTAATTATATCTGGTATTACCCTTGTACCACACATTTTCGCCAGAGTAAATGAGTAGTACAAATCAGATTTACATCTATACCCGTATTTTAATAAGTAATGCATAGATGGCTCTGATATCGGAACGTTGACTCAACTTGTAAACATTGTAGCGGTACAACATTTGTACCAGTGGATTCTAATGTGCTTCTTTTTTGCAATTAGTGGATGAATGTTTGAATGTTATGAAAAATGAAAGTTGATGGTTATACCTGGATCTTCATACTCAGTTTTCATTAATAGGTCCAAATGGGCTTTTCTTTCAAAGGCTTTCAGCTTTCGTTTTGTGTCTTCTGTCATCACCCATGTATCGTATCTATAACATACTATTGGTCTGATAATAGACTTGTAGACACTGATTTTCGATCTTCAGTATGTGTTTTTGTCACGGAACACATGGGCAAGTAAAAAGTAAGCTTTGTTTTCCTTTCTTCTCTGAATTTCTGGTTCTTCTGTTCCATCATTGTTCGATGATTTTCTGTGTCTCCCTGAATGTGATGCATGTCAATATGCTCTTCATTTTCTTGCGTCCCTAGGAGGGTGAGGAAATAGATTTTCCAAACTGATTTTATTTGCTTTGGATTACTGGTTATTTGTTATTCTTCATTTCTAAACAGATTTGTTCGGGGTTTGTATCCTTCTCTTAAATTACGAAGAGTATTTATATCCTGCCCTTATATCGTTGCTTTGAATATTTTTTTCTAATTTTCTATATATTCTTCCTCTTCTTCTTCATGTTCCACTCCTATCGGAGATTGGAAATCACTCTGGCAATTATAATTTTATTGGTTACTCGCCTGAATAGTTCAATTGAACTGCATCCAAACCATTCACGGAGATTGCGTAGCCACGAGATTTTACGTCTTCCTACGCTTCTTCTACCTTTGATTTTGCCCTGCATTATATTTCTTAGTAGTTCGTGCTTTTCACCTCTCATGATGTGCCCCAAGTATTCCAATTTCCTGATTTTTATGGAATTCAAAACTTCGCATTGTTTTCCTAGTTGTTACTTCTAGGTTTTTAATGTTGGATTTTTAAGTGTCCAAGCTTCAACTCCAAACAAAAGGGTAGAGAAAATATAACATCGAAGCATTCTTATCCGGAGCGATATATTGATATCGCGATTACAAAAAAGTTTTCTCATTCTATTAAAAGTTGACCGCGCAATTTCAATGCGGCATCTTATTTCTTTTGTCTGATCAGTATCTTCTGTGATCCATGCTCCAAGGTATTTGTACGAAGATATTTGTTCAATTTCTGTATTATCTAGTACTAGCTTAACTTTGACGTTTTGTGGTTTTGTGGCAAAACTTGGTTTTCTTCAAATTTATTTTTAGTCCATAATCGTTGCAGTATATATTTAGTTGTTCAGCAAGGTATTTCCGTGTTTCTGTCAGAACGACGGTGTCGTCAGCATATCTTATGTTATTAAGTGGCTCACCGTTTATTATAAGGCCCTCACTGATCTCGGCAAGCGCTAATTCTGAGATGGCTTCACTGTATAAATTGAATAATAAGGGTGATAAAATACACCCTTGACGGACCCCACGGCGAATCTGGATATCCTTGGTCAGTTCGTTTTCAACTTTTACTTTTGCTGTTTGATTCCAATAGAGGTTACAGATGATTCTAATGTCTCTACTGTCTATGTTTTTATTTAATAAAATTTCTTTAAGTCGATTATGCTGCACTCTGTCAAATGCCTTCTCAAAATCAATAAAACAGGCATATACTTCCTGATTAATATCTAAGCATCTCTGTGAAAGAACACTT